GTTTTTGAGAAGTCCAAAAATCTATTGGTCAAGAAACGTAAAAAAACATCAAAAAATAGACGTGGTATCAACAAGGTTCTCCAAAGTTATGGAGAATTGGGGTATCGATCCCCATGCCTCTCGCATGCGAAGCGAGCGCTCTACCATATGAGCTAATCCCCCATGAAAAACTCGTGTTCACGTTCGCTTCATAGCCCCAGATCCACAAACGGCAAACAAACATATTCATGTCTTAATTGCAACAAAAAAGGCAATGTCGAAATATTTAATTAAGCCGCTGGCTTCGGTCAAATTTTGTTTTTTTGACGCCTTAGTTTGTGTTGGCATCAACTTGATAGCGGATTATGGAACTGTAAGAAAAAAACAGCAACATCAACGGTACTTTCACAACCGCACTAGTATATGTAATATGTAAGGATTGGATTCTTTTGTTTTGCATGATTTACAATAGTTATTTGCAATACGACCCAAACAATCTCTCCCAATATTGAAAAAAGAGAAAGATGCGAAGTAGCATCAAACTAAAACAAAAGCTCCACATCGTGTAAACATCGTCCACCAATGAAAAGATTGCACAAGAACCGTGAACCAGTAAGCCTTTATTACTGGACAATCTTACCCGCATAACGAGAGTAACGTGACGTATTTTCGGAGAGAAATGTATTGACACCATGATCATGCTGTTAACTGCTCGATGCTATTGAGAAAACGTAGCAAGAATAACTCCTCAAATATAATCGCGTTTGCTTTTACAAGCAAGTATTTATATTGATGGGAGTTACTAGAGTGCACGGCAAATAACTATTTTCACTCAACTTTGAAGTCAATTTCAACGCGCGGAATATATATGATATGCCATGTAAACCAGTGGCTCATTATAATTTAATATATTACAAGGTTATTGTAGATCAGCATGTACATATGTGCAAAAGTAAATTTTGAACGCTGGTCAAAATTACTCGACATTATTGAAAAAACGCAGGCGAGCATCACGTCTCAAAATATAAAAGCGCATGCTTATCTATATAAGCATTTGAATTATATCCTGAAGGAGTATAGGGACATGTTATTACCCGTTGACAGATGAGAAATCCTTTTGAACGTGATGTCTGCGCAATAGCTCATTAATATCAACTTGAAGCCAAATCCGGTTGATCAACATATCTATTGAAAGTCCTCGCGAATCAATACAAATGGGAAAAGGCAAATGTGACTGTCCTATGCCCTCTGTGCTAACCTGCATATTGCCAGGTCAAGCTTGTGCACTTATAAAAGCCCAGCATAAATCACGCACAGCTGCCGACTAATATATGTCTTTGACCCCAATGTCAACGAAAGGCACTTGCTCATCCCAGTCCTCGTAAAGATCCAAAGACCAAAGATATTAGACCTGCTACCGTCCAATGTAACTATATGGCCATACAGTCAACTTCTTGACATTATTGAAAAAATTCGGCCAGAATGAGGGCATATAATGCGTTGCTTTACATCCATGGGCATTTATATTATATCTAACGAACGACAAACAACTATATATGATCAGCTGGACTAATTACGAACCAATTTAACGTGACAACTGTGCACTATGAAATGTCTTGTACTAAATTGGCACATCCATTTGATCAATATATAGTGATAGGTTAATACATTAAGATCTGAAATAAGAAATGTGGAAAAGCAAAGTTTTCAAAATATATGGCCATGCAATAAACTACTTGATATTATTCGTGAAAAAGCAGCCAAGATAACGACCTTATATCTAAACGCGATGCTTTACATGCAGGCATTTATATTTACATACATAATCATCCTGGACACCTCGACCAATGTTACCAGTTAACGGATGAAGAACCAATTATAACGTGACTCTGTTTCAATAATGAGATCGAATATTAAAGTGCCGCAAGTTGTCTTGAGGTTAAATGTGATCTACTTGAGCCATAGATATACTGAAAGACTGTTTCGTAGATCAATTCACCAATACAATCGATGGCCACAAAGTAACTCTTCATTATTGAGAAAACGGTCAGAGAATTACCACGGATAATATAAACGCGTCTGCTTAACATGCAAGCAGTTATACTTCCAGGAGGTTCCACAGAACGTCAAACAATTAGTAACAGTTGGCGTGAAATCTGTGCAGAATGAGATTCCCATGTAAAATGCTCGATCAAGAATAACTTGATGTCCAATTAAAAAATCCATTTGATCAATATAATTATGGACACGGTACTGTAAACCTTCAAATATAAATCGCGTACATTTTATTTGCAAGCATCTTTCTATGAGCGGGTTACTGGATTACTATACGTCAGTCAAAAGATTATCTCCCGTTCACCTTCGAAGCCATTTAACGTGACACTTGGGCAATAAGAAATGTCATCTAATAAAGTTACTGAAAATGACTTGAAGACAAGCATTTGACCAACATATATATTAAAACGTTCTAACCGATCATTACATTTATAGGTGAACAAGTCGAGTCTTGAACAATAGATGATGCCATACAGTCACTCGACATTCTTGAGAAAACGGAGACCGAGGTGCAATTTAGATCAATAAGGTAGAATTTATTAACCTATTTTGACATATGCGAAGCCAACTCGGTGCCGTTTTCCAAGAATGGTCAAAACCATGGTCAGATAACTTTTTTTAAAGTAAGCGTTTGCACCGTGGAAAAAAGTTATATATTGCTACGGTGATCGACCGAGGATGTTTCCAGCACAGCACGACGCGGCATTCAATGGAGTGGATTTTTGCATTCTTCCACTATAGGGAGGAGACGGATGAGGGGAACAAGAGGACGAAGGAAGAAAGTTTTGGTAACCGGCCAAAGTAAGGTCCCTTGTGAGTGAGGATAGCAAAAAAGAAACAAGTGCAAAAGGGGAGAGGAAAAGTAAGAAAAAATAGCGAATCGCAAAAAACCTACATTTGTCTCCGAAGGCCGTGTCCCCTTGCCAGGAATCGCGGGACGGTTCGTTTTTGTCGCCTTCTGCCTTTCTTCTAAGTAATACTTTGGTTTCGCGGTAATGGACAATGAAATAAAAAAAAAACCGAAAGAAAGAGACCAGGGAGAAGGATGGAAAAAACACGAAAACACGAAAACACGCGTTTCACGCGGATAGGAAGCGGAGTATCTCTTTTTCCCGTGCCGTGCCGTTCGGTGGCACACACTTTTTTCGCACACGTCACTCACCCCTGCCCAAGCACCCGCTTGTTGTTTCAAGGGGGGGCGAATTTTTTTAAAAAAAAAAAAAAAAAAAGTTGCCAGAAAAAGGAAAAAAAGAAACAGAATTTGCCAAAAATTTCTCCCGCCGAGTCAACAGTCACAACACCCACTCATGTCTGATCTTCCCGACTGCTGCAAAACCGGATTCGTCTGGGCTGGAACTCCAACTGGCACACTTGAAAAGTTTGGTGGTGTAGAAACCTACGTTGCAAGACCTGAAGTACCCACTACCAAATACATTGTCATCTGGACTGACGTCTTTGGTCATGTCTTGCCCAATGTTAGGTTGATTGCTGATAGGCAAGTCACTGTTTTCTTATGCACCCCGTTCAATTGGTTTCTTTTTTCTCTTGTCGTTGGATGGAGATTGAATCACAATGCAAGCAAGTTCATAGGTATCTCACATCAAACTGTGGTTGGAGACGAGTAGTCGATCAGCATACTTTCGCGAGGTTTCTCAGTGTGTTGTTGGTGATGTCGATGGAAGGAAGGGAAGGCAGTGTTGATCCAAAACCAAAGCATGACGTCAAAAAAAAAAAAAACACACAAAATTTTTGGTGATTTCCCACGTGCATTATTTTTGTGTAAATCTCATCATGATCGTGATCATCGCTCCACACACAACAAACAATCTAAATCTAACAATCTAAATCTAAACATCTAAAACTACAGCTTCGCCAAGGCCGGATTCAACTGTATCGTTCCCGACATTGTAAATGGCGATCCCGTCAAACCAACAATGGTCGATGGTCTCATGGACAAACCCAACACCTACTTTGAAAGATTCTACCAGACTGCCAGGGTTATCTCTGTTGCTCCCTCATTTGGTTATTGGTTGTGGAGCCATGGTGACACTGTTGTAAGTAGATCAATCAAACACCTCATTGAATCAAATATTTGTAAAAATTCCAATATTGTTTTGCTAACCATGTATTCATGTCAACCAGACCCTCCCACCCGTCAACGCCGTCTTGGAAGACTTAAAAACCAACCACAAAGCCACCAAAATCGGCGTCGTCGGATACTGTTTCGGAGGTCGCTACGCAATATTAACCGCCTCCCACTCCACCGAAACCTTCAAACACGTTGACGCATTCGCAACAGCCCACCCATCAAACGTCAGTGTACCCCTCGACGTTCAAGCAATCAAAATCCCAGGATTGATCTGTCTTGCTGAAAATGATTATGTTTTGCCACCGGCGCAAGCTGAGACTGTTAAGAAGATTTCCAAAGAGAAGAATGGGCTTTTTGAAGTTAAGGATTATAAGGGGACTTTTCATGGGTTTGCTGTTAGAGGCAAAGAGGAGGATCCTGTTGTTAGGGAAGCTAGGGATCAGGTGTTAAAGGATATGGTTGTTTTCTTTGGAAAGGAGTTTAGCAAGTAGACTGAGAATATTGCGAGGCGATGAAGAAAATCTTTTTCATATTGTTGGTGTATCTTTTTTTTGGATTTGGTGTTCACAGATTTGATTTTGTTGATGGTGTTTGTTTCCCGCATTCCCTCTCGATTTTGATCTTTGACATTCTGTTACTTTGGCTTTGAACAAATGCTGACCAAATAATGTTTCAATAAAGTTTCTATGAGGTATTAATTACAAGTATTTATGCAAAAGATGAGATTAACCATTTACACAAAAATGCATTCAAGCAAATCAAAATTGGCCAGACCTCCAGATCTGTTGGCTCGGGCATTAAAAGAGATATCAGAAAAAGGGAAGTGAGAAAAAGTAGGATATGTCAAGGTTATAGAACATGATTGTGAAAATGATTGTGGAGAATTGGGGTATCGATCCCCATGCCTTTCGCATGCAAAGCGAACGCTCTACCATATGAGCTAATCCCCCATG